TCTGCACGGGCCACATCAGCATTTTTGGGAGACCCCGAAAGCGTGTAAGTCTATATATGTAAAGAAGAGCTAACAGAAACTATGAAAGTGTATGCACTATTAGATAATAACATTTATTATACTGATTATAATAAAAGTTATTTTTTGAATAATCCATGTGGCTCCATCCACATTGCCTGTGATGGCAACAAGCTTTCCAGCTCCTCCTGCTGAAAAGCCACCATAGAGCATGATGCTAACACCAGTGTGCTCGATCACAGAAATGGTGTTACCTGGGTGTTGGGATGAATTTGGTTTGTGTCAAACATTATACTTTGGCTTTTTTCAGTTTAATAATGCTCAGTAAACATTTGACTCAACTTTAGTCTCAGCAGACCACAAAATCTTTTTCAAAAGCTCTTAGATTTTCTAACATAGCCTTTCTCAGAAGTGGCCTCCTTCTTGCCGCTCTCCTATTTCAGCCAGTGAACTTGAGTGTTGGAGGTGGACTATTGGAAACTGACAATTGCCCTTTATGCCCCTGCACAGTTTGGCCTGATCTTGGTAGTGTCTGGATTGTGCCATATTTTTTCCACTTTGTTATAATGGATTTCACAGTGCTTCTTTTTTTCAACCTAACAACTTCATCTCAAAACTTCACAGGCACTTCCTTGGTCTTTATGACAGCAGGACATTTTAGCTGTGGGAGCTCACAAAGTTAGAGATATTTATTGTGCAAGCATAAAATTAGACACAGGTAAATTTAAAATGAACACAGGTGTACCCTGTTTAACATATTTAGTGTGAGCTCTCGAAAATGAAATACTAGTCCTAATTAAGGTTGCTAAAAGGAAGGGGGATGAATACTTATCAATAAAGCAGTTTTTAGAGTTTTAAAAAAATTCTTAGGGCACCTAAATGCTTCATTTAATGTGATGCAGCAGGAGGGGGGGTTGGGGGTGGGGGCATGGGCATGGGCAATTAACGTGGCTCACCAATTGGCTGTTTGTCTTTCCTTCTCTCTCATAGTGAGCCGAGTCAGAGTGTTGTGTGTGTGTGTATGTGTGCGCGTGTGCGCGTGTGCACGCAACAAGTGAGCTGAAGGTGAGTCGCTGGAAAGCAGCCAACCATTCTTTTTTTCTTTTTCTGATTCCTATAAGATTGTTTGATAAGTCTGCTATGTTACTCTCCCTGACAGTGAACAATGCCACAGCATGTCTCATCTTTGGCATGGTATAGAACAGGGCTGGGATTGTGTGCATGCTAATAACCAGGAAAGAAAGAAACATTTAAAAAAAAACAATTAAAATTGCACTGCAGTGTCACCTATGAAAACATAAATTATCATATGGAGGATAAATGTCTCTAAAGACTCTCCCGACTCGAACTTCCTCCAGCATTAACTCATGTATGTAAATCTCAAATATAGATTGAATTAAATTATAAATAGCAGATGGAGAGTAGTATCTAAGACAGAGGTATTTAAATTTTTTCCTCATGAGTTCGACTTCCCAGTTCTTTGAGAACTCAACCCAAAAAAAACAAACCCTTGTCAAATTGTTGCCTATTATTACCTGGAAAATAAAATTAAATAAAACCACAGTCGCAACACAGCAGAACACTGGTGGTGGTAAACACAGTGGTAAGACACATAACGGTACATTTTGGATATAATCCTTTTACAAATCGCTTGTCTTATGTCCCCGTGAAACCATGAATGGTCTCTGACAGTTGCAAGAGAACTGCAGTCACATCATCTGCACTTCAGAAAAGCAGATAAAATTTTTTTTTATGGAAATATAAAATTATGTAACAACATATTTTGTAGAACAGAATTATTCATCAATAATGAAGTATAAAGGTGAGCCTAAAGAGTGGTTTTTGACTATTTTTTGTCAAAATATTTCAGGCCAAAGTGAGAGTACAAGAGGAAAGGGAAAAGTCCATGCCGTAACCCAGATTCCCACTGGGGTCATTTCGCTATTCCACCCAAGACCTACTGCTGGTTACAGGCCATGATCAAACTGAGAGTACCAGTGAGACGCATAAAATTCATGCGATGACTCGGATTCGACCTGGGCTTGCTGCAGCCATAGGGCAGAGCATTAACCACTATATGATCCCGGCTCGACACGCCTTGGCCGTTGCGACAGATGTTACGCTGCCAGAAATTCATATCCTGGATGAAGCATGGGATGCACCTGTACATGTTCAGCCTGGGGTAGTGAGATATGGCTTCATTTCGCTTTCCCACTGGCAACCTTCACAACCCTGCACAGCTTTGAGGGAACCAACAAACAACTTCCCCACTGGAGAAGGGCTGCGGGATATAGACAATGGCCAAAGTACAAGAGGAACACGAAAAGGCTGTGCCATGACCCAGATTCGAACCGGGGTTGCTGCGGCCACAATGCAGAGTACTAACCACTATACAATCATGGCAGTTGTGAGAGTTGTTATTATCCCAGAAAATCATCTCCTGGATGAAGCATTGGCTGCAATGGTACACGTTCAGCCTGGGGAACTGAGATACCGTCTCATTTCACTTTCACAATGGCAACCTTTACAACCCTGCATAGCTTCAAGGGAACCAACAAACAACTTCCCCACTGGAGACCATGCACAGTTTTTAGCTTTGTGGAAGTCGTCAAAGAACTTTCTCCACAACTTTGGATGGGGTAAGAGAGAGCCTGGCCAGCTTGGGATGGAAAACCGAATCTTCTCACCCGTAATCCATCTATGGCTTGCGTCAGGGAGATCCTACCACATCAGGCTTTCCCACTGCAGAAGGGCTGCGAGATACAAACCATGGCCAAAGTCCAAGTAAAAGAGGAGCGTGGAGAGTCCATGCTGTTACCCAGATACGAACAGAGTACTAACCACTATGTGATATGTGACCACCACATACAGTGCATCCGGAAAGTATTCACAGCGCTTCACTTTTTCCACATTTTGTTGTTATAGCCTTATTCCAAAATGGATTAAATTCATTATTTTCCTCAAAATTCTACAAACAATACCCCATAATGACAACATGAAAGAAGTTTGTTTGAAATCTTTGCAAACTTATTAAAAATAAAAAATGAAAAAAATCACATGTACATAAGTATTCACAGCCTTTGCTCAATACTTTGTTGAAGCACCTTTGGTAGCAATTACAACCTCAATTCTTTTTGAGTATGATGCTACAAGCTTGGCACACCTATTTTTGGGCAGTTTCTCCCATTCTTCTTTGCAGGACCTCTCAAGGTTCATCAGGTTGGATGGGGAGCGTCGGTGCAGAGCCGTTTTTAGATCTCTCCAGAGATGTTCAATCGGGTTCAAGTCTGGGCTTTGGCTGGGCCACTCAAGGACATTCACAGAGTTGTCCCGTAGCCACTCCTTTGTTATCTTGGTTGTGTGCTTAGGGTCTTCGTCCTGTTGGAAGATGAACCTTCGCCCCAGTCTGAGGTCCAGAGCGCTCTGGAGCAGGTTTTCATCAAGGATGTCTCTGTACATTGCTGCATTCATTTTTCCCTCGATCCTGACTAGTCTCCCAGTTCCTGCCGCTGAAAACCACCATGCTTCACTGTAGGGATGGTATTGGCCAGGTGATGAGCGGTGCCTGGTTTCCTCCAGACATGACGCTTGCTATTCAGGCCAAAGAGTTCAATCTTTGTTTCTCATGGTCTGAGAGTCCTTCAGGTGCCTTTTGGCAAACTCCAGGCAGGCCATCATGTGCCTTTTACTGAGGAATGGCTTCCGTCTGGCCACTCTACCATACAGGCCTGATTGGTGGAGTGCTGCAGAGATGGTTGTTCTTCTGGAAGGTTCTCCTCTCTACAGAGAAATGCTGGAGCTCTGTCAGAGTGACCATCGGGTTCTTGGTCACTTCCCTGACTAAGGCCCTTCTCCCCCGATCGCTGAAAACCAGGAATCCTAACCGCTAGACCATATGGGACCTCCACATGAGCACCTGCATACTAAGAGCTGTGTCTATGGTCCAGAAGCAGCCCAGGTCAGGAGAAGAGCACTTTTTGAGTTGGGGAGGCTGTAGTCTGATCTCTGGGTGGGTCAAACAGTGCCGTTATCCATAACGTTGGGGAGGATAAAGGAGAGCCGAGCCAGCCAGGAGTCGAACCTAGAATCTTCTGATCCGTAGTCAGACGCGTTATCCATTGCGCCACTGGCCCAGTCCCAGGGCTGCTCAGTCCCAGGGCTGCTCAGTCCCAGCCATCCTGCTCCTGTCTCCGTTCCGCCTTTATATACCATCCTGAGGATGCGTGAGACCATAGGGCACGGGCAGTAAGCAGGCTTCGCGCCAAGTATCGCGAGATCTACAAAACTACTCGGCTCTCGTTCTTCCTCCGATCCCTGTCCTGCATGAGGATTGGTCAAGTACTTTCCCGCTCCTAGCGCTCTGATTGGTTATCAGTCCTTGCTTGTGAGCAGTTCGCTGATTGGACAGTTGAGCAAGTCGTGCACGTAACCATATTAACCATAGAACAGCCTAAACGTTTAACAGCAGCAACAACAATTTTATTATTACTACTATTTTTTATTATTATTCCAACAACATCTTTTATATAGTAATCAATATTCTTTAAGATTATGAATACCTTTAGTGTCATTGTACAAGTACAGTAAGATTCAGTGTGCAGTTCCCCATCAAGCATTGTACATTTATTAAATAAGAAAATAGAAAAAATTGCTTAAAAAATAAAACTATATGTATACAAGAAACTGGTCCATTATAATATAATATAGTACAAGAGGAATGCGAAAAGGCAGTGCCGTGCCCCGGATTCAAACCGGGGTTGCTGCGGCCACAACGCAGAGAACTAACCACTATACGATCACGGCTCCACATGTCTCTGCAATTGGGAAAGTTGTTATTATATGATGCACCCTGCAAGCGGGACTGAACACTGTGACTCTGGCAGAAAAGCAGTTGCTGGCTGAAAAGACCTACAACTCCGTCTCGTGTCAGGCACGAGGAAAGGTGATGCTCATTTTAACGCGTTGCTCAGGATAAAAGCCACTTCCCATACTGGTAGTCAAAACCGGGGATCTGGGTGAAAACCAGGAATCCTAACCGCTAGACCATATCGGACCTCTATGGGCCTATGGGCAGAAGCAGCCCAAGTCAGGACCTGGACACCCAAGCCAGGACACACCTCTACGGTTGAGAGAGTCGTTATTAAGCCAGAAAAGCATCTTGTGGACAATGCAGGGGATGCACCTGGGGTAGTGAGATATGGCTTCATGTCACTTTCCCACTGCACAGCTTCGAGGGAACCACCAAGCAACTTCACCACTAGAGAAGGGCTGTGGGATACAAACAATGGCCAAAGTACAAGAAGAACATGGAAAGGCCATGCCATGACCCGGATTTGAACCGGGGTTGCTGCAGCCACAACGCAGAGTACTAACCACTATACGATCACGGCTCTGCACCCTTTAGCTGTTGGGACAGCTGTTGCTGTGGGTTGTATCTCGCAGCCCTTCTCAAATGGGACAGTCTGGTCAGCCCAGGGATGGACACTGAATCATCCATTGCCCCAAAAGGCCATATATGGCTTGTCTCAGTGAGAACCCAGTGATGAAGATCTGCAGGTGACAAACCATGGTCAAGCAAGGCTGCAGAAAAGCCATGCCTTCATCATGATTCCGACCCTGTTTGCTGCGACCACAACACAGAGTACTAACCACTATGTGATATGTGACCACCACATAACAGCCTACCCACGGAGAGTTGTGTTAATCAGCAAGAACCTTGACTAGAGGCAAGTGTAAACATTACCAATGACTTCGCTTGAGAGTCTTAAAAACTCTGAGAACAAACAGCTTTGGCAACAAGCAAGAATTTTACCGTAAGAAATTTACACTCATTAGTTCACGGTATATAAGCAATAAAGATGTCAAATGAAAGGAAACCTCATCCATGGTGAAAAACACGAATTGATCAGTATCATAACTAGAAACAAAATGGCAAATATGGATATCCGAGGAGAAGCTCCCGACTTTATATTAGAAATATAATAAATGTGGCAAATAGGCCACAGTTTGATGTCGTTTTGTGTCGAAAACATTAAAAATATTTTAACAGAGATCATATATTAACTGTAAGGATTGCCTCTGGGATTCATCGATATATGAAAGATGTGACTGAATAATTTGGCCTGAAGGATTTGACATTAAACGATTTAAAACACGATCTGTACGTAAGGACATTCTCCACAAACGAATGTCTTTATTATTTTGTCCTGCAAGAGAGTCCGTAGTCTGACATAAAAAAAAAAAAAAAAAACAGTGCAAGAGGACTGAACGCTGTGCCTCTGGCAGAAAACCAGTTGCTGGCTGAAAAATGAGACCTACAACACAGTCTCGCTTCAGTCAGGAGGAAAGGTGATGCTCATTTCAACCATCACCTGCTGGTTTACAAGCAATGACCAAACTGAGAGTACAAGAGGTATGGGGCCATTGGTTCGGCCACGTGTAGTGAGATAAGGCTTCATTTCACTTTCCCACTGGCAACCTTCACAACTCTCAAGGGAACCAACAAACAACTTCCCCACTGGAGACCATGTACAGCTTTTAGCTTTGTGGAAGTCGTCAAAGAACTTTCTCCACAACTTTGGATGGGGTAAGAGAGAGCCTGGCCAGCTTGGGATGGAAAACCGAATCTTCTCACCCGTAATCCATCTATGGCTTGTGTCAGGGAGATCCTACCACATCAGGCTTTCCCACTGCAGAAGGGCTGCGAGATACAAACCATGGCCAAAGTCCGAGTAAAAGAGGAGTGTGGAGAGTCCATGCCGTTACCCAGATACGAACAGGGGGTTGCTGTGGCGACAATGCAGAGTACTAACCACTATACGATCAATGGCTCCACAGTCGAGAGAATTGTCATTACGTCTGAAAAACATCTCGTGGGCGATGCACCGGTACATGTTTGGCCTGATCTAGTGAGATAGGGCTTCATGTCACTTTCCCACTGCACAGCTTCGAGGGAAGCAACAAGCAGCTGAGGGGACAGCTTTTGCTGTGGGTTGTATCTCACAGCCCCTCTCAAATGGGACAGTCTGGTCAGCCCAGAGATGGAAAGCTGAATCATCCATTGCCCCAAAAGGCCATATACAAACCATGGCCAAACAAGGCTGCAGAAAATCCATGCCTTGAGCGAGTCGTGCACGTTACCATAGAACAGCAGCAACAACAATTTTATTATTATTACTATTTTTTATTATTATTATTACAACAACATCTTTTATATACTAATCAACCTACCTTTAGTGTCATTGTACAAGTGCAGTAAGATTCAGTGTGCAGTTCATCCTGGGAGTCGAACCCAGGCTGCTTTGGTGAAAACCCTGTTTCTAGACCATGAGGAACGAAAATGAAGAAATCCACCTACAAGGAGTTTCTTCAGCTGGTCTGAAGTTCCAACTTTTATTGCACTGGCTATGAATTTACAAAAAAGCAGCTATTTTTTTATTTCTAAATATGATGCTTTAGAATATTGGCCTATATGTATACTGATTTTTATGTTTATAATTTGACAGTTCAACAGTTTTTACCCAGAAGTTCAATGTGGTGTGAACAGAAGTGCGACAAATTTACTCTTCCTACATTCTTTGGTCCCTGTATTTATTTTTATATATGTTTTTTTTTCTTTTTTATTACAAGCAGATTTTTATCACGTTTTTTATTACACTCAGATTTTTATCACGTTATGTAAGCTTGCCATTTGCCATTTCAACCTTGTTCCGAGAGGGCGTGACAGAGTTCATGGAAGCAGTGTGAGATGCAGTTGCTGTACCCGTCTCTGCACCTGGATGCTTTGCCTTTCAGCGACCTGCTGGTTCAGTTGCTGACTCTGCCTCACAGGCAGCTATGACAGTCCACTGAGCCAGTATAGCCAAACCATTTCAAAGGTCAATAGAGTAATGCAGAATTAAGGAAATGCATGGAATATGCATATTATATCATTCTAGTAAGCTAGAAATCAATTTTGACATATGAGTCAGGTTCATGTGGACACTGTGACACTCCAGTAGCATTAGTCTAGCTATTTTATGCTCTTTCTATTTTCTTGGAGTATGTACTAAGCTATAAAATAAGTGATAAAAATTGTGTTAGAAATGATGTCTTTCAATAAAAGAGGAAAATATGTTAAACACACACCCCAGGATCACATCTAATAGATACCTGCACTGTTTTTTAATTATACAAGCTATAGAGGTAGCTTTGTTTACAGTATCATGTTGTATGACTTGTTGTATGCCCCCAACATTTCATGTATACAAGACAGAATTGAAGAGCTGATGCCGTGACCCAGATTCCAAATGGGGTCATTTCGCTATTCCGCCCAAGACCTGCTGCTGGTTACAGGCCATGATCAAACTGACAGTACAAGTGAGACGCATAAAATTCATGCCTTGACCAGGATTCAACCTGGGCTTGCTGCAGCCACAGGGCAGAGCATTAACCACTATACGATCCCAACTTGACACGCCTTGGCCGTTGCGACAGCAGTTATGCTGCCAGAAATTCATATCCTGGATGAAGCATGGGATGCACCGATACACATTCAGCCTGGGGTAGTGAGATATGGCTTCATTTCGCTTTCCCACTGGCAACTTTCACAACCCTGCACAGCTTCGAGGGAAGCAACAAACAACTTCCCCACTGGAGAAGGTCTGCGGGATACAAACAATGGCCGAAGTACGAGAGGAACGCAAAAAGGATGAAGCATTGGCTGCAGTGGTATACGTTCAGCCTGGGGAACTGAGATACCGTCTCATTTTGCTTTCACAATGGCAACCTTTACAACCCTGCATAGCTTCGAGGGAACCAACAAACAACTTTCCCACTGGAGACCATGCACAGCTTTGAGCTTTGTGGAAGTCAACAAACAACTTTCTCCACAACTCTGGATGGGGTAAGAGAGAGCCTGGCCAGCCTGGGATGGAAAGCCAAATCTTCTGACCCATAATCCATCTACAGCTTGCGTCAGGGAAATCCTACCACATCAGGCTTTCCCCCCCAGCAGAAGGGTTGCGAGATACAAACCATGGCCAAAGCCCGAGTAAAAGAGTAGTGTGGAAAGTCCATGCTGTGACCCAGATACGAACGGGGGGTTGCTGCAGCCACAAAGCAAAGTAATGACCACTATGCAATGCACCCTGCAAGCGGGACTGAATGCTGTGACTCCAGTTGCTGGCTGAAAAACGAGACCTACAACACAGTCTCGCATCGGTCACGAGGAAAGGTGATGCTCATTTCAAAGTGTTGCTCAGGATAAAAGCCACTTCCCATACCGGGAGTTGAACCCAGGCCACCTGGGTGAAAACCAGGAATCCTAACCACTAGACGATATGGGATCTATGCGCAGGTACCTGCATACTAAGGGTTGTGTCTATGGTCCAGAAACAGCCCAGGTGAGGGGAAGAGCACTTTTTGAGTTGGGCAGGCTGTAGTCTGATCTCTGGGTGGGTCAAACAGCGTCATTATCCATAACGCTGGGGAGGATAAAGGAGAGCCGAGCCAGCCAGGAGTCGAACCTAGAATCTTCTGATCCGTAGTCAGACGCGTTATCCATTGCGCCACTGGCCCACGCCTCAGTTGCTGAAGTCAGATACTCCTTCATTTCGCTGTCCCTCGCAAGATGCGCTACTGGTTTACAAGCCATGACCAAACTGAGAGTAGAAGTGGTATGGGGAAAATCCACGTCTTGACCTCGATTCAACTGAGGCTTGCTACGGCCACAATGCAGAGTACTATCCAGTATACGATCACGGCTCCTCACCCTTCAGTTGATGGGACAGCTTTTGCTGTGGTTTGTATCTCGCAGCCCTTCTCAAATGGGACAGTCTGGTCAGCCCAGGGATGGAAAGCTGAATCATCCATTGCCCCAAAAGGCCATATACGGCTTGCCTCAGTGAGAACCCAGTGATGAAGATCTGCAGGTGACAAACCATGGCCAAACAAGGCTGCAGAAAATCCATGCCTTGAGCAAGTCGTGCACGTTACCATAGAACAGCCTAACCGTTTAACAGCAGCAACAACAATTTTATTATTATTACAACAACATCTTTTATATACTAATCAACCTACCTTTAGTGTCATTGTACAAGTGCAGTAAGATTCAGTGTGCAGTTCATCCTGGGAGTCGAACCCAGGCTGCTTTGGTGAAAACCCTATTTCTAGTCCATGAGGAACGAAAATGAAGAAATCCACCTACAAGGAGTTTCTTCAGCTGGTCTGAAGTTCCAACTTTTATTGCACTGGCTATGAATTTACAAAAAAGCAGCTATTTTTTTATTTCTAAATATGATGTTTTAGAATATTGGCCTGTATGTATACTGATTTTTATGTGTATATAATTTGACAGTTCAACAGTTTTTACCCAGAATTTCAATGTGGTATGAACAGAAGTGCGACAAATTTACTCTTCCTATGGTCTTTGGTCCCTGTATTTATTTTTATATATGTTTTTTTTTCTTTTTTATTACAAGCAGATTTTTATCACGTTTTTTTATTACACTCGGATTTTTATTACGTTATGTAAGCTTGCCATTTGCCATTTCAACCTTGTTCCGAGGCAGTGTGATAGAGTTCATGGAGGTAGCGTGAGATGCAGTTGCTGTACCCGTCTCTGCACCTGGATGCTTTGCCTTTCAGCGACCTGCTGATTCAGCTGCTGGCTCTGCCTCACAGGTAGCTATGAGAGTCCACTGAGCCAGTATAGCCAAACCATTTCAAAGGTCAATAGAGTAATGCAGAATTAAGGAAATGCATGGAATATGCGTATTATATCGTTCTAGTAAGCTAGAAATCAATTTTGACATATGAGTCAGGTTCATGTGGACACTGTGACACTCCAGTAGCATTAGTCTAGCTATTTTATGCTCTTTCTATTTTCTTGGAGTATGCACCAAGCTATATAATAAGTGATAAAAATTGTGTTAGAAATGGTGTCTTTCAATAAAAGAGGAAAATATGTTAAGAACACACCCCAGGATCACATCTAATAGATACCTGCACTGTTTTTAATTATACAAGCTATAGAGATAGCTTTGTTTTCAGTATCATGTTGTATGACCCCAACATTTCCTGCATACAACACAGAATTGAAGAGCTGATCTTGGTATTCTAGGCACTGTTAGATGTTACTCAGGCTATTAAGGGGATTAACAGAGTTTGCTGCCATAACCAGTAGGCTGACTCTATCATTAACAAAGGACCAAAGAACTCCAAAAATGATCACATTTGCATGCTTGGTTTGCAAAGGTTTGTATTTGGTGATTTTAGATATCTCTTTCCATAATGTTCATGAAAACTACCAGCTCTTTTGCAACATTTTCTTGGTCTCTTCATTACAAAACTGTTATCTCTAACTCAAAAACCTGTGTAAATAAAAAAGGGTTGTCAAACTCAAATTCTGCACGGGCCACATCAGCATTTTTGGGAGACCACGAAAGGCTGTAAATCTATATATGTAAAGGAGAACTAACAGAAACTACTAAAGTGTATGCACTATTAGATAATAACATTTATTATACTGATTATAATAAAAGTAATTTTTTGAATAATCCATGTGGCTTTGTGCCAAACATTATACTTGGCTTTTTCATAAAGTTTAACAATGCTCAGTAAACATTTGACTCGACTTTAGTCACAGCAGACCACAAAATCTTTTTCAAAAGCTCTTAGATCTTCTAACATGGCCTTTCTCAGAAGTGGCCTCCTTCTTGCCGCTCTCCTATTTCAGCCAGTGAACTTGAGTGTTGAAGGTGGACTATTGGAAACTTCTCTGACAATTGCACTTTATGCCCCCGCACAGTTTGGCCTGATCTTGGTAGTGTCTGGGTTGTGCCATATTTTTTCCACTTTGTTATAATGGATTTCACAGTGCTTCTTTTTTTTCAACCTAACAACTTCATCTCAAAGCTTCACAGGCACTTCCTTGGTCTTTATGACAGCAGGACTGATCTGATCTTCCATTTTAGTTGTGAGAGCTCACAAAGTTAGAGATATTTATTGTGCAAGCATAAAATTAGACACAGGTAAATTTAAAATGAACACAGGTGTACCCTGTTTACCAGATTTTCAAGAGCTCACACTAAATGAAATACTAGTCTTAATTTAGGTTGCTAAAAGGAAGTGGGGTGAATACTTATCAATAAAGCAGTTTTTAGAGTTTTTAAAAAATAATTCTTAGGGCACCTAAATGCTTTAGTTAATTTGATGCAGCAGGAGGGGGGGTTGGGGGTGGGAGCATGGCCAATTAACATGGTTCACCAATTGGTTATTTGTGTGTGCGCTGTATTAACAAGCTGTTTGTCTTTCCTTCTCTCTCATAGTGAGCCGAGTCAGAGTGTTCTGTGTGTGTGTGTGTGTGTGTGTGTGTGCGCGCGCGCGTGCGCACAACAAGTGAGCTGAAGGTGAGCCACTGGAAAGCAGCCAACTATTCTTTTTTTCTTCTTCTGATTCCTATAAGACTGTTAGATAAGTCTGCTATGTTACTCTCCCTGACAGTGAACAATGCCACAGCATGTCTCATCTTTGGCATGGTATAGAACAGGGCTGGGATTGTGTGCATGCTAATAACCAGGAAAGAAAGAAACATTAAAAAAAAAAACAATTAAAATCGCACTTCAGTGTCACCTATGAAAACATAAATTATCATATAGAGGATAAAGACTCTCCCTACTCGAACTTCCTCCAGGATTAACGCATGTATGTAAATCTCAAATATAGATTGAATTAAATTATAAATAGCAGATGGAGAGTAGTATCTAAGACAGAGGTATTTAAACTTTTTCCTCATGAGTCCCACTTCCCAGTTCTTTGAGAACTCAACCCGAAAAAAAAACCCTTGTCAAATTGTTGCCTATTATTACCTGGAAAATAAAATTAAATAAAACCACAGTCACAACACAGCAGAACACTGGTGGTGGTAAACACAGTGGTAAGACACATAACGGTACATTTTGGATATAACCTTTTTACAAATCGCTTGTCTTATGTCCCCGTGAAACCATGGATGGTCTCTGACTGTTGCAAGAGAACTGCGGTCACATCATCTGCACTTCAGAAAAGCAGATAACATTTTTTTTATGGAACTATAAAATTATGTAATTGAACATATTTTGTAGAACAGAATTATTCTGTTAGTAGTGAAGTATAAAGGTCTGGCCATGAGTAGCTGAAGTCCTCTTCATTAATCCTTTGGAGTTCATGTACTATGTACTATGAATTCATTTTAATTTATCATAATGTTATGGACTTTTCTGTGCACTAAGCATTGTATAGGCTCAGTCCTAACAGTTTCTGAAGGGCAACAATATTACTTTTAATTCTTTTAACCTCTGAATGTTTTTGTTAATAAAGCTTTCTGTGCAATGAGCATAAATATATGTTTTAACACTTTCTTATAATTAGACCAATCTTTTCCAGTAGGATGTTTAATGAAACTGAAAGACTGAACAGCATTTTCTATAC